AGCTTGCTCTGGGTCTCACGATCGCCGCCGCCATCTTGGAAGGCTCAGTGGGAGGACTTTCTCAGGCTCCGGGTCTGGTGCCAACTCCCAACACTCCCAGGCACAGCCCCAAGCAATCTTGTGCCAGGGGCAGCTACCAGAGCAGATACCGCCGTCGTCTCCTGGTAAGGGCTATATGTTTGCACGCTGGTAGAGTACGCTGGGATATTGGTTGGTATTGCGGGGACACTCTGTGGTATAGGAGTAGGAGTCCTCATCTGTTCACCGTACCCATACAAGGGAGACCGCGAACTTCGCTTTCTCTTAGCTATGCAGGCTAGGAATTTTAGGAAGATGAGGTCGAGTGCAGACAGTGATGTCATCATGTTTGACAGCTGCATATTTCCAACGCTGGTCTCTGCCATCTTGGAAGCCTCGTGGGCCCGACGGGATGGTCAGCGGTAGATCGGCTCCCGGGACCGTGGTAACCCCCACAGGTCCAAAAGGGGGGAGAGGGTAGCAGGCACGTTAAAATGGCACAGACAGCTAAAGAGTCAGGAGAGTGGCCGCCTCACCCTCACCCCGCTGCCTGTAGGCCGCAATAAGCAGGCTCGGCAGTCCGTTTGAAAAGAGACCCAAATATGTTATCCCCAGATTTACTGTGGAGCCCTCCAGGTAGGAATCAAACTCCTGCGGCAAAATCAACAAGCCGACCTGACTTATAACTTGTTTTATAGGTACCAAACGCTGGAGCTAGCTCAGCACACGTCTGGTCTACTTGGAAGTCAGGCCCCTCCCCCCTGTCTATGCACATCTTGTGTCCACTTGTTACCATCATGTGACCTTCAGGCATGTGGATTCACTGCACATTTTGTACATCGTTGTGTATCTAGGCACAGACAATGAGTCAGTGACTGATTCCCTCCTGCCTGATGTTTTACCCAGAGCTATTCATAGGGCATTTGGTACCTGGGGTGGCATTTTCTGTTGTTTTACACAGAAGCACCTCCTCCTTGGGAATCTACTTTTGTGTGTGTGTCACTCCATTTCCTGTGTGTCTATTTGCATCAGGATTAGATCCTTGTATGCCTTTCCTGACTTTCAATGTGTGTCTCTACTGATCCTCAATGTGTGTTTATCCTGACCCTCAATACGTGTCTCTGCTAACCCTCCATGTTTATCTTCCCAACCCCCATACCATTTACTATACTATTCCTCCATTTACCTTAATTATTTTATGACTGAGCAGAATTATGTCAGAGATTCTACATATATCTCTATCTGATTCCTCAGTGCTTTTCCAACCTACATGAGCCATGCCGATTGAGTGTAGCAGGGTGGGAAATTATATTAAAAGTTTCTGCCACTGTCCCATTCTTCTGTGCTACATTGAGTGCAAGGCTGGGAGTGCTGTGGGCTTGTACCCATCTTTCTCTGTTTCTTAGTTCATTGTGCAGGCCATGGCTGCCATCCACAATTAATGCTGATGCCCGGAGTTCCCTGTTGCTTATGGATGTCCTCAGCTCTGTTTTCTGCTTGATCCCCCCTTATGTGCTGCCCAGTCTAGGTTGCTCTGTTCTAATTTTTGAATATCTAACTTCTGGCACCATAAACCTTTGATATCATGACTGCAGACCCATACTCCGATCCCATTGCTCATTAACCACACGTACACTGAAATATAATGGAAAGTGCAGCGGCTTCAGCTTCATTAACAATACAACATAACGTCCTATAAGCAAGCAGTCTCCATCTTTTAACAAACTGTCAGCTCTTGGGGTGGGGGAGGGGGGGGGAGGTATCAAACAGATAGTAAACCACTGAAATTCCAAGACCCCATGGTGGGCAGGCAGGAAGACAATCAGGCTCCCAAACCAGACTGAAATGCCCCACCCTAGGAACCCGGGCTACACTGTATCTCTTTTGGAGGGATGTCCCTATCCTCCACTGTAAGCCCCATTTTGACCCTCCTTTTCCATTTTGTCCAGGGGGTTTCTTTCTGGTACTTTTGTCTTGTGTGTTTGGTCTCTATTATTCCTCACATTTCCTTTTTCCTCATATTTCTTTTTTCCCTTACTTGAGTCTGAATCCAGTTTCATCTGCAGTGTTCTCTATGATGGCTTTGACTTTTGGAACTCTTGCATTCTGAGATTTCATTTTATCTTTTATCTCCTCCTCCTCACCCTAATCCAAAGGTTTGTTTCAGCATGAAGTCATGCCGCCTGCCATTCACGCTTTTCCCCAATATTTTATATATATCAGACAATTCGTATCCATTTAAAAAACTACTTACTAAGTAAACATCAGTATTTCACAATCACAATTATTTATATAACGTCATATTATCCTGTAGTACTGTATAATTGGTAAAATAAGACAAACAAAAATTTGCAACATAACATATTTGACACACAGGAACAGTAGGATACAAGGGCCCAATCCATGTAAACTAGTATACATTGTAAATTTTATTTTTTAATTGAGCATAAAAATTTAGTTGACAATATAAAAAAAAAAAATTGGAATGGTTCAGCAATTCAGCAAATTCACTGGTGAAAGAGATCCCCGGCTTCATCATATCCCATTAAATGTATGTAGCCTAACTGATACAAATATCATAATCAATAATATATGTTGCCTTTAAACTAAAATTCGAAACACATTACGAAATCTGCCATGTTTTAAAAATAGTCTTTACCAGTTAACCCCAAAGGAGTCTGAAACTACACTAGACTCTGGTGAGGTAGGTGGTATGTGGCATCAAGTTAGTTTTTGATATCTCTGAATCACAGTTGGAGTTGTTGCAGCTACAATCCTGATTCATGTTACTGGGAAAGTTTGGTTTGGAACAGTCCATCAGGAAGCCATCAAACAGAGAACAGTTAATACTGAGGTTTGTCTGAATACATTCCCATAATCTCTCTGTGACTTGATAAAAACAAAAGCACTTCCTGTTTTTGGAAAGTCAAAGGTCAGTAGCATGTGTTAAGCTTGGCAGAAGCCATGTGGGACACTTCAAGTAATACTGGCTGTTTATCTAAACCATTTTTTTCCGTAAACTCTTAATTGCATCCAAATTAAAACCATCTTGTGTAATACTCAATTTCTTTATCTAGCAGACACACAGGAAGAGAAGGTTTATGGAAATATAGACCGTGCGTAATAGGGATGTCCCTTTGTCCCTGTTTATAAAATGATTCAGACATGTTTAAAATATATTTTTAGAGTACTACTTTCATGAAATACAATGGTTTGTGTGCTATCACCTGATGTCTTAAATGCACATTCAGGGCCGCTATCAGGATGGTACAACCCTAACACTTGTAAGGGGCCCAACCATGCTCTTGGGCCCACAAGGGCCAAGTAATGCTATGTGGTCCAGTTGGGGATCAGACCATATTGCGAATCTGTGATGGCACGGACAAGTACATCCTCTTCCCATTCTTCTTGACCACAATTCCACTGGAAGCAGTCATTTCTATTTACTCCCTCACAGCACTCAAAGGAAGCCACGCTGAAGGAGAGGAACAGTCCTGCACAGGACCACAAGGAAGCAATCATCCTCACAAAAGGTAGCCAAAGAGGAGAGTGGCTAAAACACTTAAATGTGTGTGTTTCTGTCAGTATCTATGTGTGTGTTCGTTTTTGTGTGTGATTCTGGCAGTGGATGTGTATATGTTTCACTGTGCGAGGCTGTCAGTAAGTACATGTATGTTTGTCAGTGTGTGTCTGTCTGGTAGTGTGTATTGGTTTCTGTATGTCTGGCATTGAATATCCCTGGGTGTATGTCTGTCTGGCAGCTGGTATCTGGGTAAGTGTGTGTATCTGAGTGTGTGAGTGTGTCTGGAATGTATACGTGTATTTGAGTGGTATCTATGTGCCATGGCACATGTGTATGAATATGCATGTATAAGGGGGCGGGTTAGTGGAGACCCAGCACCTGAGTTTGTAAGGGGCCCCAAGTGTTATGATGGCAGCCCTTTGCATATTGCATACTAAACTCTCATTGTCTGCCAGCATACCTAGCAAGAAAATATCTAAACATGCCACATTTGCAACATCTGGGGGTCTACTTTTTGTCAACCCTTATTTTAGAATAAAAGGAATTTTAAAATAGAAAAGAGAGACAGCGTAATTTTAACCCAACATACAAATGTACAAATGTTTTGCATCTCCAAAGTGGAAGAGAATCATGGATGCCTCCCTAATATCCCTATTTAGGTGTGACAGTCCCAATTTTTGAGTCTGTCATCGTGTCCTGACTTTTTTCCCTGGTGACACCAGGGTACTGTACCCTTGAAGTGTAGTTAAAGCGCATTATTAGACTTGCCACCAGTTGACACTAGAGTCCTCTTGCACTTCTCCATGACGACATCATGGAGCTGGTGGATGTTAGAGACCTTACGCTCTCCCACCTTCCGTTTGCGGATGCCCCACAGATGCTCAATGGGGTTTAGGTCTAGAGACATGCTTGGCCAGTCCATCACCTTTACCTTCAGCTTCTTTAGCAAGACAGTGGTCGTCTTGGAGGTGTGTTTGGGGTAGTTATCATGTTGGCCCTGCAGCCCGAAGGGAACAGGTCATGCTCTGCTTCAGTATGTCACAGTACATGTTGGCATTCATGGTTTCCTCAATGAACTGTAACTCACGAGTGCCGGCAGCACTCATGCAGGCCCAGACCATGACACTCCCACCACCATGCTTGACTGTAGGCAAGACACACTTGTCTTTGTACTCCTCACCTGGTTGCCGCCACACACGCTTGACACCATCTGAATCAAATAAGTTTATCTTGGTCTCATCGGACCACAGGACATGGTTACAGTAATCCATATCCTTCGTCTGCTTGTCTTCAGCAAACTGCTTGCGGACTTTCTTGTGCATCATCTTTAGAAGAGGCTTACTTCTGGGACGACAGCCATGCAGACCAATTTGATGCAGTGTGCGGCGTATGGTCTGAGCACTGACAGGCTGAACCCCAACGCTTCAAACTCTGCAGAAATGCTGGCAGCACTCATACATCAATTTCCCAAAGACAACCTCTGGATATGACGCTGAGCACGTGCCCTCAACTTTTTTGGTCGACCATGGCGAGGCCTGTTCTGAGTGGAACCTGTTCTGTAAAACCGCTGTATAGTCCTGCCCACCGTGCTGCAGCTCAGTTTCAGGGTCGTAGCAATCTTCTTATAGCCTAGGCCATCTTTATGTAGAGCAACAATTCTTTTTTTCAGATCCTTAGAGAGTTCCTTGCCATGAGGTGTCATGTTGAACTTCCAGTGACCAGTATGAGAGAGTGTGAGAGTGATAGCCCTAAATTTAACATACCTGCTTCCCATTTACACTTGAGACCATGTAACACTAACTAGTCACATGACACCGGAGAGAGAAAATGGCTAATTGGGCCCAATTTGGACATTTCCACTTAGGGGTGTACTTACTTTTGTTGCCAACGGTTTAGACATTTAAGGGACACTCTAGTCACCAGAACAACAACAGCTTAATGTAGTTGTTCTGGTGAGTATAATAGCTCCCTTCAGGCATTTTCATGTAAACACTGTCTTTTCAGAGAACACTCCTTAGATGGCCACTGGAGGGGCTTCCTGGTTCAAGGCTGCACAGTAAGCAGCCCTGTCGTTCATGGTCCCCACGCTCTGCATGGAGATGCTGAATTTTCCTCATAGAGATGCATTGATTCAATGCATCTCTATGAGGAGATGCTGATTGGCCAAAATGGCATTTGGCCCCACCCCCTGCCAATTTTAGCCAATGGATTGGCTAAAAATTGGCAATTTTGATGATGACACCAAGGGGGTGGGGTCAGCACCGGCGGACCCTTGGAGAGCAGAAAATAAGGTGAGTTTTAATCCATTCTGAGGGGGCTGGGGGGGGGGGGGTAAGCCACCTAAATGGTGGGTTTTCACTATAGGGTCAGGAATACATGTTTCATGACCCTATAGTGATCCTTTAATGTTATTTTGAGGGGACAGCAGATGTAAAACATTGACATTTCAGAAAATAGTCAATGTTTACCTTGGGGAACTTCTTAATTGAAGACCTTAAATTATTATTACTATGGAAAGTCTTCACATTTGGCTTCACCGAACATTGTGAATGCTTCTAAACATCGTAGACTCCCAATGTTTGTCTATGAGAAGAAATTATCAGGATGACCTCAGAAAAAGGAAATAGCTGCCGAGAGGAGACAGTCTGGCGCTGTATTACTAGTGAATATAACTGATTTTTTATTTTTCTAACATGTCTCTATATCTACAATAACTAAGCAACATCTTAACATTTACACAATAAAATGTTTTTAAGAGTGTTCCTTTAAGCACCAATAAATTCACACTGTATCACTTTAAGACGTGCTGGGACCCATTCTTCTCTTGATTTTTGTGAATGATGTGGAACCTGCTGGAGCTTTACTAATAAATATTATACTAATAATGAGAATTGGCAGCTTTTCCACATAGATTAAACATTTTTTCCAATAAATGTTTACATCTTCAGCCATAAATTCTTTCTAATATTTTTTTTGTTTTTATTAATAATTGGATTGTTATATGTAATGTTTATCAATTGTATCAGTGACCTAATTAGTGCTTTGCGTCTTGAACTTTTCAGCCTTCATTGTTGGATTTTCTGTGCCTCCATTGAACCCTAATATTTAAAATACAATCACATGCTTAAAAAGACACTGTAAAAAAGTAAGGGACTCAAATTCAATCCAGTGGG